GTGTCCGCGTCAGGTCCAACCGACACTCCGAGTAAGTATGTTTAGAACGAGAGGGCAGCAGTCTACCCTAAGATTAAAGCATTTCCATCTTTTGCTTTACAAACTCCTACAATTTTTACCTCAAATCATTGCAGTGGACTGTACCTTTCCTATCATCTGACAGTATGATGTCAAGTGACATGTGGAGTGCTTTCCTTCCCCCAAAAGCTACCTCACATCTTTTAGCTCCTTTACTGGATACATTTGGCAATTTTTTTGCGTAGATGCCACCACCGTGCAGGTCGGATTGCTGGGTCCTGAACCCATCCTTCTATTCTTAAATAGATGGCGGATCTTTCATTTGTAGGGAGCACTTCGTCAGTCACTTACAAGTGCAAACAAACGCTGACACATGACTAGCTAAATGGTGTCAATATTAGTTGACAATAAGTCAAGGGAGACATCATAATTCCTCTCCTCACTCCTTGCCACTGTCGTGTAGGTCGATTGATGAACTTTGGAATTGGCAGAAGGGCAGGCTAGCCTCTCATTCATTGTACCTATCAGAATATTTCACTTGTTACCAAAATGCCCAAATTAGGCAAATCAAACCGTTTGTTTATTCTGCGCTTCGAAGTTATAAACAATGGATGTAGGCAAGCCGCACTGGTGCCTTTACGATTTGGCACTGGCTTTCAACCGGACGACCACCCTTATGGAAAATGTGTGTTGTTTAAAGACCATATTTTTCTCCGTTATACGATGGTTGGCTCTCTCATCACTCTGGAATGACTTCTCAGTGCAAGCATGACCTTTCAATTCCCTCTGTCGTCTAAGCTTTTCACTTCAGTCTGAGACACTCACCCTTGTCTCCGTAAAATCACTTTTTTTTACCACCGCTCTGAGTTTTTTTGTTTTTCTTTGATGAAGAGTTAGTTCCCTCCTCCTCTCTCTCCAGCTGTCCAGTTTCAGCTACTCTTTACATTTGGATGGTGCGTGATCTTGCCTTCAGGCAAGCAGGTCACTACCACTAACCCATTATGTTCGCTAGCTAAGTAGCCTCACGAGTTTTCTTTGCATCCGCCCATCCACTTCACTCAAATAAAACTCTTCTTTCATTTTTTCCGACCGTGAAGTTCTTTGACGTGCTACACTAGCCTACTTCACCAACCTCGTGTTGTCGAAGTTATCACCTTTTTTTCTCTCTCCACGACCGAGAAAAATAGAAAATAATTGATATGAGGACGAGCGTCGAATACCTTCAGAATGAAGTATTTGGAAGTAAATCGCCTATAAATGTTTAATTAGGGCAGAAAATTGAAAAGACGGTAAAGGTGTAGTGCACCAGTCCCTCCCTGTGGGGCTGGGAGAGGCTAGAAGTACGACTGAGAGACGCCACTTCGACAGGAGGAGGTTGAAGGCCGAGAGAAGGGTTTTTCGGCGTTCAAATCGGTAGGAAAGATATCCCCTTTGCATCGTATAAAGTGAAAATGTAGATTGTCCTTTGGAGACTTCAAAACGTGCACAGTTAATTCCTTTCTACTCTCCATAGGCTCATAAAACTGACGGAAAAGAACATTACTTTTACCACCTAAAGTACATTTGAAGGACGAAAGAGCGAGCAAAAAAAATGGATTTTGTGCTTTGATATTACTGCAGGCTCTGCATAAGAGGTGTAGTAAGGATTACAGCCTAGTTTTACGCTGGTTTATCCAACTTCAGAGATGCACTTTGAAGATGGGACAAGGCGCGTCAAAAGTTGAGTGGTGCAAAGGCGACATTTGACCCACTCTCGTGTCTACATTCGGTGCTTTTTTGCTGAGAAAAGGCATAAATTTAGCCACTCGCCACCGGAATAAATAGCCCCGTTGGAGAAGGCGGCCTTATGCAAGCAGTGAGGCCTGGGCACGCCTTCCTTGGCGCAGCGTCGACGTTAGTTCTTGACTCACCTTGTAATTAATCACAGCATTCGACAACACGTATGTTGTGATTATCTCTGTGAGAGGAATTTATAAGTTAAATTTAACAAAGCAGGGAAGGAGGGGCTTTATTGCTGCAGGAATAACTGAGCGCGCTCTACTCTTTTAGGCCCGTTTTTGTGCTTGTGAAAGGCTAGAAGGAGTGAACTTCATGATAAATTGGTTTCCAATTAATCCGGAATTCTTTTCCGCCCTTCAACTTTTGCGTCCGGAGCCTGTCTGTGCTTACTCTTGCTTCAATTTTCGGAGAGTCAATTCCAACCGGTGTTATTACGTTGTTTTCCAGGGAAACAAATTTGCTGTGAGATTACAATTGCCAAAGCTGGTCCAAAAGGCACTCAAATTAGAAGTGCTCAATAAATTTTTGTTCAGAAGTGAGGGAACAATTGGAGATTCCTCGCTATCTTAGCAAAAATTCCTATTGGAACCCTTTGAACTGCACTCCGAAATGCCAGTGTTGCAGATGATGCACTTAGAAGAATGAAGCGCCTTAAGTTAGCTATTACCATTTGGGAGATCAAGAGCCAAATTTTTGGCAAGTTTGCCATTACCCTAAATTGCACTACCCTGTTTGTTAATATGTCAATTAGGGCGTTATCAGCAAACAAGCTAGCATTGTCACGCAAGTATTTGTAGATTCGATAAACGAAACGTGATTTTGCATGCATCGTTTTTGATTACTAAAATAAGTTCAAGAAGTGATTGTTTACTCAAAGTTAAACTCCGCCTTTAAAAATTTAAAAAATTTGAAGTCATATTCTTCTTTTAACCCCTTAAAAGCGGCAGCGGTTTATTGCATTCGGATAATTTAGTGGGCTAGTGCATATTTCGCAGATTCATAATATTGTCCGACTTCATTTTCTCAATTTGTTTGAAGCTACCTCGTTTCCATGGCATTCGGGCCGCTACCTATTCGTTAGTACTCTCAAATCTGAGTAGTTTTCTTTACTCGTCACAAAGTGGTGCGTTGCGAAGCGCTCATGACCTGATCAACTGGTTGATATCTAGCACAAATCTGGAATTCAAACTTTTCAGAGTGACTTCATATTTATGTTATTTAACTACTTCCAAACTCTCATTTGTAAGTAGTATGTTGGAAGCTAAATCAATAGTAGTGGAAGCATATTGAGATATAGTTCGGGTTATCAAGATGGGCAGCAGATGGGCTTTTACGACCTTGTGACGGGTCTCTGTATCACTGGCCACCACAGAATTTTTGCAGGGTAGATGTACCCTAGTTACATGTATAACAGAAGCAGGTGGGAACAATGTTCCTTTCTTTAGCTATTACAATGGGAAGGTCCCTAATCCGCATGAAGATGCTCGGCTATTAGGACAGAATTATACTGCGTGAAAAAGTCCGGCTTTGAGCGTAAACAGTGGGTGAGGGTGTATTATGAGTCGACAACTCAATTTGGCCCTAAGAGATATCGTTGCAAGTCCGCCTTTCCTGTACTGGAGGGTAGCCAGTAAGCACGGCTGATGGAGAAGTTGAATAAGCCTGCGTGTATTCCTATGTGCTTACCTGGATATCACAATACCCTTGGTGCGGCTTCTCCCTCCCTACATGTAGGTTGGATCTGATGGGGCG